TATATATATATGTAAGTATGTATATTATATATACATATATACATAAAATACACATAACATAGATATACACGGTGTTATGTAGCAGCAGCTCCTTCTGCTGCCAGAAGCTGAATCCCAGCTTCGGGCGGGTTCATGAAGCTTTAACGTGTTCTTGTGGTTTTAAAGCAGCTGGAAAGCCCCGACACTCACTCATTAATTACTCCGCTCTGGTTTCCTGAGTTCAGTTTCCAGGTTTTGATCACAGCGTCATGAGCGAAGAGCAGAGCAAATCAAAAGGCAGCGTTCCATAAAGCTGCGGCTGATCTGATGGTTTCATGTGAGTGTCTGTCGTCACATTAACGCTTTATGAGTGTTTGAAGCTGCAGCTGCAGATCTGGGTTCAGCTCTCGCAGCGTTTTCATCATCACATCTCTGGAAAAACAACGTTCAGATTGATCTGAATGTCAAATGAACAGTTTTATTCACAGAGACTGGAAACAGAGAGCATCACCAGAAGAGTCCCTGAAGCTCTCATCAGCACAACGAGTCCTGACATCAGACCAGCAGCTCCACTCTTCTCCTCACCAAATCTCCAACAGAGTAGTTTGCAGCAGATTCTGTTAAACCAAAAACTGAACAGTTGAACAGGTGAACGGGTGAACGGGTTAACAGGAAGCCTCCAACTGATAGCTGACAATAACACGTGTGTTGTCATGGTAACTGCAATGATCCTCCTGTTCATGCTTGAGATAATTCAGGAAAGAGTTTATGCTGCCATTGATCAAACATCTGGTTTTTCTTTGATGAATTATTGTCCTTTGATTGTCACCTGCGAGTGTTGGGGTCAGGGGTGGTGTTACTGATAAATCAATTATAGATTATTGATCGTTAACTCCGCTGATTAGCTCGTCGCTTTAAAGGAGCCGTGGACATCTCTTGATCTCACTGTTTGTGGACAGCAGAGGACAGAGCGGAGACACTGACCGGGATGTTCTGGAAGACCTGGAAGCATCCATCCAACCAGACGTAGATGGTGGAGCTGATGGCGGTGGTCCGACCATCAAACGTGTTGGCCACCGCCAAGAAATGGTACGGTCCGACGCTGAAGAACTCCCAGTCATACGCTCCGGACGTGGACAGAGTCTGGTTCACCTCAAACAGCTGAGGGACGACAAGAGTCAGGAGATGTGAGGACAGCAGACGCCAAGGAGGACAGGTGAGACGGGATGCTGTCCACTGATTGGACAGCAGGACAGGTACCTGTGTGTCAGGGTTCCACCTGTAGATCACACTGTGGATGTTGTGGTTGGAGTCTCTGGCTGAGGACACAGAGACACATCCATCATTTACTGAACCGTTCAACAGCACATTTAGATTCTTTCTGGTTCCTCAGAAAAACACTTCAGAAAATAAAACCCAACAAGCTGCTGCTGCAACACACTTGTTTTGGTGAATTCGGCTCAGGTACCCTGTNGCTAACGGTGCTAACCACTGAGACACCTGCAGCCCTGGACAAAGTCCATTAAAGTGATCAATCTGGACCCTCCTCTGTGGACTTCAAGGACCTGGAACTCTGGAACATTCACAGTCTGAAGGTAGAACTCTGGTCAGTAGATAAAGGTGCTGCAGATACAAAACCAGACGTTCTGAGGAGGAACCAATGGACGAATCCATCAGACAGAGAAACGCTGTCAACAGAACTTTACATGACCCGGTTTCTTCAACCAAAGTGCTGCATTTATAAAATAAGTTTATTCTCCAGAGTTTCCCATGCTGCAGCTCCTCGGGGTGGAGATGATGAGGTCCAGTTTTGGGTTCTGTCACTCTTCGGTCCAGTCTACGGTTCTGTCAGTCTTCGGTCCAGTCTGCGGTTCTGTCAGTCTTCGGTCCAGTCTGCGGTTCTGTCAGTAGGTCTTCAGTCTGAACACCTTGCTAAGCCTGGAGGTGGCACTGGAGTAGAGGAGGAACCGTCCCTGCTCGGTTCTGAAGTGCTCCCAGTCCCTGCAGCCGAAGGTGGGCAGACTGTGGACCGGAACGAAGCCCTCGTAGCCCTGATACCTGGAACACACAGCAGGTGAGTCTCACCTGCTCACAGACACACAACACACCTGGCCAGGTGACTCCACACACCTGTAGATGACGCTGTTCAGAGAGTACGAGCTGCCGTCATGAGAGTTCGCCACAACCAGAAACTTCTCCTCTCCAACGGTGAAGAACTCCCAGTCCACCGCGCTGCACACCACAACAACAACATTGACAACAACAACAAATACAACGACACCCACCACCACAACAACAACAATGACAATAACAAATACAACAACAACAAATATGACGACAACAACAACAATGATGACAACAATAACAAAACAACAGTCACAGAAATATTAACAAAATGTTCCCAAAGCAGAAATATAGTTTTGAAAAATGTCAGAAAATGGATAATTTTTTTAAAAAAAAGAACAGCTCAAAAAATGTCAAATAAAAATTCTTAGAATTCCAGAACTTTTCAGAAAATTTCTAAAATTCCTTAAAATGGTCTGAAGAAAAAAAAAAAAAATCAGTAATAAAATTCCTGAAGTGTCTCCGAAATGCAATCCATCCATCATCTCTACACCTTAATCCTCACTATGGGGGGCGGAGCCTATCCCAGCTGACTCAGGGTGAAGGCAGGTTCACCTGGACAGGTAACCAGTCTATCACAGGGCTACACTTAGAGACNACCTTCTAGCTGTGAGGCCACGGTGCTAACCACTGAGACACCTGCAGCCCGGCTGATAGATATGGTCCTGATACTTATTGATTGATCATATTGACCGTCCTGATGTGTTTCCCACCTGGTCGTCGATGGTGAAGTGTTTCCAGGCCCGGGCCTCCTGAGTGCTGATGTTCTGGTATAGCTGGAAGGTACCGTCCGTCCATCGGTAGATACCTGAACCGGGCCGAGAGTCCCTGCCGGAGGAGACGGGAGCATTACCATGGAGACACAGGGGCTCAGGATGAGGCCTGCCAGTCCAGGTGTGTTGGTCTACCTGTTGGCTGCAGCCATGAACAGGCCTTCAGATGGGATGGAGAAGACCTCCACGTCGAAGGTTTCTGAGCGGGTGTACAGGTCCTGGTAATCCTCCAGGTAGTCCAGACGCTCGGTACCTGCAGAGGGAGGAGGCGGGGCTGGAGCTCAGCTTCATATGAAAACAGTTTATGTTCTACGGTCAGTCAGAGATAGGCTCCTCCCCCCTCACAGGCGCAAATGAATCAGCAAAAAGAAACTCAAGAACTCCTTCTGAAACAGCCAGCCTCATTTCGGTGGTTTTTACTTCTCCTTATCTATCTGTTCCTTGACTCTCTCCAGCACAGGAAACAACAACTTCCGAGCAGCAACCTGGTAGCTACAGGTTCTGCTGAAGGTTTGGATCCTGCAGTGAAACAAGCTGCTCGATTCTGAGTGAACTATCACAAAGATCTACAATGAACATGTCTGAAACATCTGCTGTCCAACAGGGAGAACAACTCGCATGATTTCCTGTCTGCAGTGATCACAGAGAGGTTTAGAAGCCTCTCAGTCATCAGTGCCTGTAAGTCTGTGATGAGGGTTTAACTAAACACATCATCGAATGATGCTCGTTTCTCTTATCAGAAAAAGTCTGTTCACAAAGCCATCTTTTATTGGTCTTTGTGCAGAGAATTAGTCAAAGTGGTGAAGCCAAACAAGTTTCCTCAGTCACATGATCCTGTTCTTGGCTCCGCCCAACACAGCTGTGATTGGTTCAAAGGAACACCAACTGGACGGAGCTTCAGAAGGGCAGCAGACAAACTGCTTTCTCACATCAGCTGTGTTCTTCTGATGCTGTAGCTTCACTCTCAGTATTCTCAGACCCTCACCCTACCTGTGAGATTTGTCCTTCTCATGTACTCGCTCATGAACACGGATGTGTTTCCATGAGAGTCCTGCCCACGCTGTGCAGCAGGGCCCTGGAGCTTCAGACTCACTCTGCAGCAGCGTCGTCCACGCCGGGCCGTCGCAGATGAACAGCCCTCTGCTCTGAGCGTCGAACCACAGCTGGCCTTGTTCTGCCGATGAGCAGGGAGGACGGGTTCCCAGCGTCACTCTGGCCTCGGCCTCTGGAACAGCAAACGGCACCACAGTCACATCTGTTCTACGGAGAATCAGATCAGGTTTACTTCTACAGAACATGTTAGAAGAGCCTGGCTGGCCAAAGAGCTGCACATGAGGTGAAACAGTCGAGGAAGCAAAAAGTAGAACATAGTGAAGTAAAAAACAGTGAAATAAAAGGAAGCTCAACAGGAGCCAGTTCTGACATTCAGAGCATTAAACCACCACGAACATCTTGAGAGGTTCTCAAAGTGCTGACAGACAAACAGCATCTGACTGAAGTCAAAGCTTCTGAAGGCTTCCTGTCCACCAGTGGACCAGGTGTCAGTGTGAAGCGCTTCATGATGGTTCTACAAACAGCAGCAGCTTCTTTTTACGGTTTTGTCTCCTGAACGAATCACTGAGGAGGAAAATCAGCCAGACGGTTTCCTGCCCACAGCCTGGTCCTGTTTGTGTTTCTGGTGCAGCAGCTCCACCTGTCACACCTCCTCAGGTGGATGGAAAGCCCCCGACGTGCCACACGTCTGCTGTGTGATTCCTGTCAGCAGCTGGATTCCCTCTGATCTGACTGAACACACAGTTAATGCAGCCTTTCATCTCCCCTTCATCCTCACCACTTCATCAGGACACACCTGAGGGGGCGGGGCTATTCAAATGAAGCCGTCTGAACAGGTGAAACTCTGATGAGGTTTCTCTTTTGATGTCACTAATTAAAACACTCAGGTGTGTTGAAATGTGAAGTCAAGTTGAGGCGGCTGCTGTGTGTGTGGAGCTCAGGTGTGGGCAGGTACATAAATCAAACACACCACAGGCTGAGCAGCTTTACATAAACTGAGTCAGTCCGACTGCAGCACACCTGTACCTGTCCTCACCTGTCTGACCTCACTGCACTGCCATGGAAACACACTTCAAACAGCACGGCTAGCCGGCTGTCAGTCACACTGCTGTAACACACACACACACACACACACACACACACACACACACACAGTAGCTGTAGATTCCTGTCAGTCACTAACAAACATCTTGTCAGTCTGCAGCTCAGATTACTGAATCCCTGATACCATCACAGCACCAGGTTTACAGTACACACACACACACACACACACACACACTCACACACACACACAGACTTCTGGTTCCTCCTCTGTGTCCATTCAGGTGGAATTTGTAAACAGAACCAGAACCTGCTGCAGTCCTGCAGGGTCTGTCTTCAGGTCAAATCTGAATGGAGTCTCAGGTGTCCTCACCGTACGGGTAAAGTGGTTCCTGCTGGCCCGGCTGGAAGGTGGTGGACTTTAAAATCGCGGGGACGGCCAGTTCGGCCACAGCTGGGTTGGCGGCTGGACACAGTCGGGGCGTGGCATCCGATCCTGGCACCAGAACCAGCTGTCGCAGCAGACCCTGAACACAGACAGATAGTGAGAACCAGCAGCGACAACGGTTCTGGTTCTGCTCCAGATCCCTGACTCACAGAGAAACGACCCCTCCACCTTCCCCGGCTGCCCACAAAGAACCGGGACCTTCTGGTGCTCAGAGCGCTGGGAAAGGACCGGGCCTGCTTACTGGGGACACAAAACCAGTTAGTGCTGCATCAAACCAAGTCAAACTGGATCTGCTGGTTCTGGGAGACACTGGACAAACATGGTCTCTGCTTCATCATACAGAAGAGTTCTTTATGTTGGTCTGAATCAGGCTGAACTGGACCGATCTAAACCAGACAAAACTGGTCTGAACTGGTCTGAACCAGTCTGAGGTAACTCACAGCTCCAGAGGAAGTCCACAGTCGACGGTCAGGGTGGCGTACGGTCCACTGACCGCCAGAATTATGGTGTGCCAGCGGTTATCATCCAATCCAACATCCTTAAAACTCTGGCGGCCCCGCCTACTAACACCAGGGGGCGTGGTCACAAAGTGGAGGCGGTTCTTGGACACGCGTAACCCTAGCAACAGCGAATCAGATTCCTCCTCCACCACAGAGAAGATGTGTTCATTAGTCTGAAACAGAGAAAGGACAGGTCAGACCAGACTGGACTGGACTGGACTGGACCAAACAGGACCAGACCGGGTTCTGTTGCATTCACCTTCTGTCTCAGATTCGGTATCTTGACGGTGGCAACCAATGAGAACTCAGAGGGGAAGTAGTCACAGTTTGTGAAGATTTGAGAGGCGGGAAAACTCAGTGCTGTTGCCTCGGCACCAGCCAATCGGAAACCTCTGGATCCTCTGGACTGAACCATCTGCACCTGGTGGGGGAGGACGGATCATCAGGTGTGGACAACCGTCTGCTGCCTTTTCTGTGCTCGTAACTGTGTCCTGTGTCTCACCTGTGTGGGCGGGGCTTGTCCAGGGCGTGGCAGCGCTCTGGTCAGCAGGTCAAGAGGCAGCAGGTCTGAGGAGGAACAACGAGTCATGAGCACAACAACAGAATTCATGTGTTCATCCCAAACAAGGCTGCCATTCTGATTGGACGGTGCTGACTGTAAACCTGCTGGTGGTGTTTCTGTCCTGCAGTCTGAACCCAAAAACACGACAATGACCCAACTCATGTTGAGTTTGTGTATTTTCAGTTGTGTAACCAGCAGCTGAAACACAGATTAGATCTGGACGGACGACCTGCCGCTGGTCTCTGGATGGGATTGATAAGTGGGCCATGCTGATCTCTATCGGCGCTCAGGTGGAAACGATCTCAGATCCGTTTATTCTTATCACCTGGCAGCTCGGTGTGGTTTTCTATCTGCAGCTTCAGGCCAGATCTAAAAATAAACGGGAGGCGTGTCGACTCTCCCGTCGCCAGAATCATGTTTCGGCTGTTTCCTGATGGTAGAGGCCAACTGTCAGCCGTCTGGAGGAGCAGCTCACACACCAGCCGGATGTGGTCCACAGGAAGGCAGTAGTATGTAGGAATAACCAGGACCAACACAGTAACAGAGTACTGCAAGGTACACAGAGGGGCACACTGTGGACCATCAGAAAGCTCTGGCGGCTGCCAAACAGCTGCTTCAACTCATTGCTGTGGGTTTTGGTTCCAGTTGATGCAGTCGCTGGTCGTCTTTGGTTTCTGTCCAGCTGCACCTGAGAAACAATCCATCGGCTTCATCGTCATCCGACCGAGTTACTGCTGTAATACACAACCCTGACAGGAAGCACAGCTGAGCCTCCCTGAGCTCGGTCATCAGAGCAAACAAGGCAGTTTAACAGAACCTGAAGCTAAAGCAAGAAACCGTTTAGATCTGAAACCAGCATCATCTGGTTTGGAGCTGGATCCCTAAAACACGAGGGTATGACTGCNCCACAGTGCAGCTGAAGCAGAAACTCTTCTCAGATCAGAGTGTTTTATGTTCTCAGCAGACACACCTGAGCAGGTAAAGGTGTGTTTGAAGTGTTCACACAGGACCAGGAGATACGAGCTCTCAGTGCTTCAAAGCTCATGTTTAGGTCGGGTGAAACCTCGTATCTCCACCATCTAGCAGGTGTGGTTTTAACAACATTTTAAAATGAAGCTGAGAGTAATTTGAGCCTTTAAAAGGTGGAATCCTCAGAAAACCTCACGTTTCATCCACAGCAGAGGACAGAATGAACAATTCAGTGGAGCAGTGATTGATTGGAACATATTGATTATCAGCTGATTCCTTCTGTCACTCACTCACTCACTCTGACAACACTGTGACTTCCTGTTTACCTCGTCTGTGATTGGCTACGACCAGGAAGCTGTGGTTGTGGATGCTGAAAGCCTCCCAGTCCTGAGCAGCGTGAGTCTCCAGAGTCTGAAAACGGACGAAACGCCGCCGCCGCTGGTTCCACCGATAGATGACTGACAGTTCAGGCTCCGCCTCCCTGATGTTTGCCACCACCAGAAATATCTGAAGGACGAAAACATGACAACGACGTTAAGAAAACAGAAAACAAAGGAACGTCACTGAATTTGAAATATAAAATGTATAATAAGTGGCTGTAAAGGTATTCATGCCCTTTAAAGTGACTCTAATGTCACTCAGGTGCAGCCAGGTGGTGCTAGAAGTCCCACAGTCAGTGAATGCATCATCTGAGGTCAGTGAATGTGTCTCAGTGATTGTAGCTTAAAGACTCCAGTATCTGGAAGGTCCAGTCACTGGTGGATCAGTACTTGTGTGAGGGAGGCCACCAAGACTCCTATGACTCCTCTGAAGGAGTTTCCAGCTCCAGCAGCTCAGATGGAGAGACTGTTCATACAACAGCTGTTGTCTGTTCTTCACCATCAAAGCTTTATGGGAGACAAAGACTCTGTTGGAAAAAGCTCAGATTAAATCTGGACTGGAGTTCACCAGAAGACCTCTGGAGACTCTGAAGTCACCTGGAAGAAGGTTCTCTGGTCTGAGGAGACCAGAATGGCGCTTTTTGTCTGTCAGACTAGATGTGGTGTTTGTTGGACCTCAAACACTGAACATTACCACAAATACACCATCACTATGACATGAAGCACGG